ATATATATATATATAAAATTAGGGGGTCCCCGCTCTATCTCACCATCAGTTTGGGGGTCCTTGGCCTGGAAAATGTTAAAGGCCATATTAGAGCATATATTAAATAGTTGGTGTTTTGGCTCCCAATTCAGGCACTATGGAAAACTTTTTTTTTTTTTTATGAATTTATGAGCTTGATTCTGTTTTTTTTTTTTTTAACGGCACTAGTGCCTCATTTTTTTGACAATAGGTGGACGGGAAAGGGGGTATGAGGGGCACCTAGTGTGCGGCTGTTATGGCAACATAACCCCCCTGCTCCCCCCTGAGACCTGAACATCTAAAACAACCAGAATTGAATAAAAAAACGACCCTATTTTTTATTCTTGTGATTCAGACTAGTTATGCAGCGTAAAACCGACTGCTCTATATATTGTATGTGTGCTCTAGTCACTTGTTTGTGTTTCCCCTTGTTCAAAAACTAAATATAAAGTCAAAAAAATTATATAAAAACTACTCTCTACTTTCAGCCTGGGTTCTTCTAAGAATTAGGTCAATCATTCACTCAACCTGATCTGGAGCCAGTTTCTCTTACTGGTTAATGTGGAGGAGTTTAAAAATAGAACACCAGCTAAAAATGTATTCTTTCCAGTTTTGGCACATCAGAAGACTAGAATAGACCTATAGATCTAATACAAAACAAGCATAAAACAACATTATTTTTGTAAATTTTATTGTGAAAAAGAAATCCAACTGCTAAGATCAATATATATATTGATACAATGTTAATGGCCAGTAGTTCTGTTCAGCTGCAACTGGGATTGTTGAACAATATAACTGGGAGCTCTTAATTCCTCAAACCCCCTGGTTGTTAAAAAAGAAAAAAAACAGATTGCCGTCTCTGAAGCATCTAATCCACTCGTTGCATAAAAAAAGGAAGATTTCTTACTCTAAATGAAAGAAATAAGAAAACTAAAAATACAAAACTTTGGTCAGCTTCCCTTGATTGGCTGCTTTGCAAATCCTTTAAGCAACAGACGGCAAAAATCATCATTTTTTTTTTTTTTTTAAAGAAAGAAAATCTACAAAAAAAACAAAATCAGGTTAACCTTGCTTCTAATGAAAAACAGAACCATGTCATCAAAATAAGAATGTTAGCCCAGTACTCACATTTAGTCATTTTGCTTATATGGTAGCTGAACCTCCGCTCTGAAGGCACGTCAGCTTTTTACCTCCCTTACTGAAACGTTTTACATTTACAACAAAACCAAGAGAACACACCGACCTTAAATACAACGTTAATCAAAAAAGGGGAGGGAGGGGGGGAAGAAAAACAACTAGACAAGTTAGAGAGTACTGTGTAACAGCGATGAAGGACTTCCTTCATTCAAGCGCTGATTTATTCCCTCCCTGTCTCATCCCTCCCCCCCAGATTACAGACCTTCACTTCCCCCCCAACAACATACACAATCTCTGTACTTTGTACTCGTGTAGATATGTTGTGTGTGTGTGTGTGTGTGTGTGTGTGTGTGTGTGTGTGTAGGTAGTGGAGTGGGCGACTAAGGGCGAGCTAGTTTAGGTTCGTGGGCCTTCAGTGTCCCGACCGCGTCCTTCACTGCATGATAGATGATGTTCTTCACCTGCAGAAAACAAGAGGAAAAACTCATGTAAGAACAAAACCTCAACGTCTCGTTAAGACAGATGTGTGAAGGAATAAAACAGACCTGTAGCTTGTCTTCATGGTTTGTGTGAGTCGTGGAAAGGTGTCTGAACTCCTGCGTCAGTCTGAAACAGTGCCTCACATGTTCAGGAGACACAAAGTCCTCCGCCACCTTGATACAGCTGTACAGATTGTGCACCTAAAAAGAAGGGAGAGGAAGAAGATTGGGTTGGTTAACAAGCTTGAGCCTTGAAGCTATGAAACTCGCTGTGAGGCGCCATGTGTCTGACCTGGTGTGGCGCTCCAGCGGGGATAAACACAGCATCGCCTAAGAACTGTAAAATGGCCCAGCCCTGGACACCGTACTCCTCGTATAGTCGGCGCCGGAGCCCCTGGTCCAAGTACCAGCTCTGGTCGTGGATTGGGTCGTGATCCGGAGGGTTCTCTTGACCCTGCTCTTCTCCCACCTGATTAAAAAAAAAACAAACAAAAAAAAAACAGAAGATTAAAATATCTTGTTCATTACAGCTAATAAATGATTTATTATCCTCTTTATTTTCTATTTTAACACCAGTCTCTGGGGCTCTGACCTTGCGGAGTAATTCACGGATCTTCTCAGCATCCTTAGCTGCATAGATGTGCCACAGAGCTCCTGGTTTCTCCTTCCCCTCATGTACCCTCCTCTTTGTCATTTCATCCACATCGCCCTCCTCGATGGTTGTCATGACCTCTGAAGACCCAAGGAGAGGAAACGATACAGACAGAAACATACAAAAACACCAAACCTTCGTCAGTAGGGTCTATATATAAACATAACTAAGCTTTTTATTTCTTATTGTTCATTATTAGGGTTTAAAACTATGCTTGTTACCGATTCTTTGAAGCTATGGCACTTATTTCACTTGTTCTATGGAGGAACTATTGTGACTTTGACACGATTAAATAAAAAAATAAAAACTGATATTTCCTGTTACATAATTTAAAATATGGGCCAAGTTCTTAACTTGCTCCTTTTGACTCATTGTGTTTCTTCTCAGTGGGTTTAAATGTTTCGCAGATAGCTTTCAACTAAAATTAAAATTACAGGATAGATTTATTTTATTAATTTTATGCAAATAGTGAACTTAATGCATTTATATTATGCATAGAGTTCTATAGAAACATTTCTGTTTGATCATTTGATTTTTATTACAGTTGGTTTTATCAAATATAGGTAAAAAATAAAATTTCTCTGAGAAAAAAAAGGTTTTGACCATGTTAGAACCCATCTAATCGTGTGGTTGAATACTATCTTGACTGATGGTCACTGTTACAGGAGCTGCATGTTTAGAGGTTGGTATCTAAGCATCTTAAAACAATGTTGAGTTTGAAAAAAAATTAATAGAAAGGGGACGAATACAAACTTGAAACGACAAAGAAAAATCAGTTTGTAGGGTTGATTTAAATAAAATAAGTCCTAGCTGGGTTCTGGGCTCCAATATCTTCCACCAAAATACCTTTTTTATTTTAATAGAAAAATTAAGGTCAAATTTTTTGAAGGAAGAGCAGAGAGGTAGAGAATCCAGGCTGCTTCATCAAACTTTAAGCTTCCATCTGCACATAAGCTTTATGGAAACACCTATTTTATTTAACTGTCCCCATTGCCAAAAGGCACCAGAACCTGGTTTAATGACTTAAGATTCCCCATGCTTGATAGGTGAGCAAACCGGCCTGACCTGATCCCTACAGAGGATCCATGCAGAGGAGCTGAAGCTCTCTGCCAGACAACCTGGGCTTCCACTACAACTCAGCAGAACTACAGGCTGATCGCATCTGAGCAAAGTACTGAGGTCATATAATGTACAGTAGTACAGTACTGTAATAATTCAGTTTTATACATCTCCATGTCAATAAATCTGGACAAGTTTCCAGCATTTAGATGAATAATTGAAACAAACGTAACGTTCATTTTCCTATTAAAAATATGCTTGTGTTCTCAGTTTGTGATGTGCACTGATTCCTATTCAAGCACTGTTAGCCTGATGCGGCCATTTTCAACAGCAGTTTTTTTGTGTTTATCATTTAGCCACAAATAACTGAAGTAATTCATATTACTGCATACAAGCAACTGAGGGGTTCAATAGACACAGCTGCTCAGAAGGCTTTAATATCCAATCTTTTTCAAAGAGTGGCAGTTTGGCTAAAATGGTAAAAAAAAAGAAATGGCACATGTTGGCGTTTCTAAGCTAGGATTTCAATTCATTATCTATTTACGCTCGGGGGCGGGGCAGGAGAACTTCTGTGGTTCAGAATAGGGATCACATGTGCTACTTCAGGCAAAATTAGGAAATACTTGTGGCCTTATGTGTTTCTGTAATCTAATCAACCAAAAACTGTCCTATAGTGCCATAATTCAGCTTTGAATAAAAATTTATATGCTGCTTTATTTTAAAATCCAGCCAAAGAGCTCAGATTTTAAAGAGATGCCTTTAAAGTTAAGCGTTATGTGCGTCTTGGGGGGGATTTACTGCCAGTAATCAGCAGCTCTAATTCTAGTAATTTTAACTATAATCTTTAAGAACTGCTAGACACCAAAAGCAGCACAAGAGAAGCATGAAGAGGAGGAAGATGGGGAGGAAGAGCAAGGAGGGATACAATGGATGCCTGCTCAGATTTTCTGCTTGGCCACATACATTTTTATATATTTTTTTTTATTTATAAAAAAAACCCAAAACAAACAAGTGGAAATTTCAATAACATTAAAGCATCTAATGGTGCTAAAGTTTAAAATTGCATTCACACTGAACTCGTTCTTCATGTCAAAACATCTGATTTACAGGTTAAGTCTATATGGGGGACAAAGAATCTAAAGATCCAGCAGCGTATCTGAGCATCAGAAACGCCACATCCTGGCGTCCGAACATCGACGCTGGAGTTCAGAAATCATGACTTTTGTTGTTTGATGTGGATCAGAAAAGCTAATCCAGTTTTTTGGCAGACAGACACTACATGCAAACCGTGATCACTTCTGCAGCGCTGAAGAAGAAGAAGCCAGGAGAAGCGATTGTTATTTACAAAGAACAGAAGTCATCGACAGCCTGGCCACTTTCTGAGAACTGCATGTGGTATCCCAGCGCTGTCGCCGTGCAGGTATGCGGTGATCTGTCGCTCCGAACAAGAACTCCATATTTTAGTAGGATCATAATCCTGATTAACTTTTTGTACAGATGTTGTTTTGAGGTAGACTTTCTCAATTAAAAATGTTTTTGAAGTATTTTTCCAAACTCGTCAAAGTAAATGGATCCAAGCTGCTCTCTAGCTTGTAACACTGCAGATAAAAATCCGAGCACAGAGATCCGAGAGCATCAAATGATCCTAACCAGCATTTGATCCAGCGTCCTATCTACACGTTTTTGACGCCCAAAACACGTTCAGTGTGAATGCACCATGAGCAGATTTATTTTTGAGTTTTTTTGTGAATTATCCTACAGGCAGACTAGTTGAGAACATGGGGCGAATAAAAAGCACAGTTTACAGACTAGACAATCACAATTACTGACAACATTCACATCCACAGCCTGCTTTTGATTCATAAAGCAGCTATGACCACAGTTATGTCTGGGAAGAAGAAGTGATATTATTTCATTTGAAACTAAGATCTTTGTTTCAGTGCATACTTTATTCTTCAACCCCTTAGTTCTTACTCTTAATGTTCTTAACCTGAAACATGCATTAAGGAAGGAAAGTGTTCACAGCTCCAACATAAAGAACTACAGCGGTTATGTGTGGGATTTTAAATACAGCAAAGTTTTCATTTTATAACAGTTATTTTGGCAACTAAACAAAATTCAGTGCAAATAATTTCTAAAAATGCAGTAGAGTTGCTACAAAAGCCGGAAAAGCTTGAGTTTGGACACTTTAGAACAAATTGTATTGCTTCCTTTACAGGAAGCCCTAATGAATGATTCCTAAAGATGCACAGATCAGAATTCTGATGCCATTTTACACCTTTTCAAAAGAAAATTTGTATTTATTAAATTTTTTTTTTTTTTTTTTTTTACCAGTTTTGCCCTAATCTGATGATATCCTGCTGTCATTAGTAATTCCTATTGAGAGCATCGACAACGTACCTAAAAATCAGACTTCAGTGTCATTTTCCTAAACAAAGAGAAAATCCATGACAGAGTCCTTTTTTTTTGACAAATGGACTGTGGTTAAATATTCATTTTAACTCTAGATTTCCTAAAGGTTTTAATAATTCATAGGGGAAAACAATGTAAAAAGAGAACACAGAGCACATTTGCTCTCCTCTGTTCAGCCTTTCTATTATCTGTTCAAAGTCTTGCTCTCTTTTACAGCCTTAATGAATTAAGACAGATGATTATACTTACCAGCCAATTATTAGTGCATCTCTACTAACCATCATAAAAGAAGCTTCAAAGTGGCCAATTAAGAATTTTTAAGTTTTATTTCCGCTAACTAAATGTGTGCGAGTGTGTCTTAGTGTAGAGAAAATTGAAAAGGAACAGGAACGCCACCTCTAGATGCCCTTCATCCATACTACTCTCCCACAGTCTAAGGACCAGAGCACTGTACACTCAAAGTAAGTCAACCTGAGGAGAAGACCCAGTGCTGCAGCTATCCATATGACCCCAGATTACTTCATCAAATTCACACTAACCAAAAAAATTCTAAGTTGGAACCCAACCCTGAAAACAAAAAACACTAAAAAAAAAAAAAAAAACGACACAGATCTCCAATAGTTATTTGGAAACTGTTATTTAGTTGAATGAACGTTGCAAAACACAGAAATTTACAGACATGCATCAACACAAACTGAGGGATGAGTCCCGGTGCTCTGGCCCCTACTGCACAATAATAACAGAGGGATGGAGCGCAGGTGTGAAAAGGGGGGAGTTAGTTGAGAAGAAGGGCATGCTACGCAAGTGATACAACTGAAAGTCTACAGACCTTTGTATCCAGAGTTCTCTGCCTCTGTGAAGGAGAAATTTTGCCACAATGTAAATACGCGAGACCCCCTGGAGGGTGCCTCCATTGTCCTTTCCAAGCACATCAAGCTTGGAGCAACTACAACCATTACATCTCATGATAATATAATAACCTCAACATTGGATTTTATTTCAATCTTAGTAAAAGTATTTAAAATGCACATAAAAAAAAAACTATTGTTCTCAATGAGGAAGAAGATACTTCATAAAACTGTTACTGTTTAGCAACATTTTTCTTTCCAGGAACACAATTTTAATAGTTAGTAGCTAAGCTGTTAATTTGTCTAGAATTAAATAAACATCAAATGACTTACAGTGCATGTTAGATAAAAAGGAAATAAGGACTCCTAAATCTACTGACCTTTCTCCTGGTTTTGTTCTCCATGAGGAATTCCGACGTACACCATGACATTGACGGCGTCAGACACATCCAGATGGAGGTTGGTGGTTCCCACCTTCCTGTCCTCACTCGAAATTAAGCCTGAAGATTAAAAGGGGAGAGTTGGAGAGAGAAGGGCTGTGAAAAGATACGAGAACTGCACGCAAACACAAGGTAAGAATTAAACCAGAATATCTTTTTTTTACCGTAGGCGTTGTACATCTTTGGTCCAAGGTCAGGACGGACAAAAAAGTTGGGCAACCGTGAAGCGAGGTTTAGACGGCCATCTCTTTTTGTGTATTCGGGCAAAGGAAGATTGTCCATCAAATCATCAAACCTGAAAAGAAACGGGGAGGTTAAAATAAAATCTTACTGAATGAAACATTGTGGTTCTTTTTCTAAATTGTACTTTTAAATCCTAAAAGTCTAGTCTAATTGGAATGCACAGAGAAATTGGCCACCATGTTTATTTTCCAAAAAAAAAAAAAAACATTGACAAAAGCCTAACTTATCTGCCCCAGGGAAGCAAATGCAATAGGCTAATAATTTATTATCTACATTTTAAAATCAATTTCTACCACCTCTATCAATGTTTGTCTCATTCAAGGTGCGCAGTGAGAGCAAGACATTCAGTAGATAACAGGAAGAATCAAGAGTTTACAGCAACGTTGCATTTTGAGCTTCTGAACTCATGGAACATGTAGGATTTGGAAATGCTGGCAGCCTTTTGTGTATTTTAAGTTGATGGCAAATCGTATATTTTGGATTCCTCCTCAGATTTTCATGGCAACATAGAGCACTAAGACATTGAAAATGTGACACCTGTGATGAAGACAGGTGACCAAGGAACTCTAATCAAAAGGCTATGTGCCAACTCCACGACTTCCTGAACTTCAGCCAGCTCATTTGGTTCCTGTCGATCTTTACAGGAGAGACTTAAGCCAGGCTTACACGTTGCAATGTTTTGCCCTTTTTTTTCGATCTGCCCAACTTTTGGCCTGATCGTTGTGTAGTGTACAGGGGGTAACGAGGGGCGATCAGCCTCTCACGACCACCTCACAATCGGGAATCATGAGGTCGGGAGAAAATCAAAAATGTTTGATTTTCAGCCGACTGTCGTGGGGAAATGGCTCAGTGTGCAAACAAGGACTCTTCTTCCTCTCAGATGAAAACACAGAAGCATGGCGGGACCGTACTAGCCATGGCTGAGCCATGTTTGCTCAGCCATGTCTTTGTCCAAACACATTGCCGCCTGTTCCTTTTAGGGCTTCAGCACAAAATAGCAAAATTACCAAAGCAGCGAGTGTTTCACTCTAGTGAGTTTAATATTCCTCTTCTACTGGTTTGCAGTGTTAGCAGGTAGATCGGATCAGAGCGTTGGGCCGCACATGCATCATGAGCTGCAAACTCGCACTGTACGACGAAACCCTGCGGTTTGGTCATACAGCGTGAGCTGCAGCTGCGTGCAAAGACTAAAAAATCGTACAGTGTATGCCTGGCTTTATTAATCCAGGTGTGTCTGGCCAATGTTGTCATGGTTACTCAGGTCAGACATACCTGGATATATTACTTTGCCCATTAATGAAAGACTGGAAATAAAAAGATAGGTGATATAGGTTTCCATCCATTTTTCTCCAGCATTATATACCAACTGCTCTGTATCTAAATATTTAAATGACCAATCATGGCAGAAAGGCTAAAAATGGGAAAAAAAATATATACATATATATATTATGATAATCAAAGAGAAATCAGAATTAGTTAGAGTTCCAATTTGAAAATAATGCATTCATTAAAGAGTTGATATTTCAGGTGTGGTTTCCTCACCTTGTGGGCATCATGTCCCTAAAGTCTTCACCTGGAGGCCAGTCCTTTAGTTTTAACACCATGGGTCTACTGTCACTGTCTTGCAGTCGTTCTGCGCTCACAGAAAACACAGAGACATTTTTAAGGGAGAAAACTTGCATTTTGGGTGGCTTTTCTACAACTAATTACAAACTGATTAAAGAGAACACAACCAGTCATTTTCTACTCACTGGAGATCGTCTCAAAGCCATCCCAGAAGTCTCGAACCTTTACGTCAGAAATGATGGCACAGTTTCTACAGTTGACCAGATCTACGTCCTGGTTTCCAAACTCCTCGCTGAAGGCCTCAGGCCGCCACAGTTCGGATTTTAGGCGTTTATGTATCCCTGACACCAGCACAGGCTGAAAACAAACCAAAGCAAACATTTTAAGCTCAAACATCCTGTAATCCCTTCTAATTTAGAAGTTTTCACTTATTCTTTCCGACTCTTACTTGTCCCTGCTTCCAACACTCTCTAAAGATCTTCCAGTTGTTGCTGTTGCTGGGGTCTTGCAGGCAAAGAAGTCGCCCATCACAGAGCCAAGAGTGTGAGGTATGTGGTTCCAATACACTAAGACACATTACGCCATCTTTACGACCCCCCAGCACTCCCAGCTCGCCCCCTTCGGAGGCCGTGGATCGACGGCCCTCCGCTTTCTTAGTTTCCACCACAGAGGCGATGATGTGGTCAAGGAAGTTCGGTAGGCTGCTCTTCATCTTGTCGCTCTGAATCATAACATAATTACAGGTTACAACCCTTCATCATTATGTAGCTGGCAGTAATAGCTTAAGAAAGCTTAAGAAAAACCTGACGTACACTTGATGAGGTAAAAACAGAGGGGAAAGGTACACTGCTATCTCCAGGACCCTGAGACAGTTTTCCTGGTCCAGAGTTGAGCAGATCCCGAAGACTTGACCCCTCCGGTTTGGACTGGGTCATGCTGGGTCCGAGTAACAAGCTGTTGAAGAGCTTCGGACTGGAAGGAGGCGGCTTTGAAAGGGCACTGAGTGAGTCCAGCCCAAAGGGGGGCCGATTTTCTCTACTCATCATGGCGCGAAGCGAGCCGGATTCTGGAAGAACAAAAAAAATTTACTCTAGCTGATCCTTTTTCAATAAACAGAAAAAGTCTATACTCTTCACTCTGTATTTTTTACATACCCTTGGTGTCATCCTTAGCTTTCTGTGTGGCCAGGTCTGCCAGCCAATGCAGAGCGGAACTGTTGCCCTCTCCTGGCGGACGGGAGTCCTTGGCAGAGGACTGTGCGGCATTGCAGGGAGTGGATGTACTAACGGAGTTACTGGTACTACCCACACTCCCCCCGCCCCCACTGTCTGAAGGCGTCGCTGTTTGCATGGTCTCTGTTTTGATTACTGTCGTTTCTGCCTCTGGTTTTGGAATAGTAGCAGCGCCAGGTAAAACTGCAAGGCCACCTCCGCTGCTGGATGTAGACTGCTGGAATAAACACCACAACCAAAAAATGCAACTCAAAATGTTTCAGAAAATGCAGAAAAGCAAAAAAAAATAAAAAATTTAGGAAAGGTCAAACATAATACCTGTGAAATTCCATTAGGGGCGGTGGGGCGCATTAGTGACTTTGTGTGTCGACTGGCACAGGGACAGTTGGCTTTAATGCCCCACTTGCCCCTTGCTGCATGCACCATGTCACCTATATTATAAAGAGCTGAAGCAGAAAGCAGATCATTAGCATCTATTTTAAACCTACATTATATCCCAATGTATGAACTCCGATTTATCATTTCAAACTTTACTTGAAAATATTTGTAGTTTTTTCTTCTGTTAAAAATTTCCTCTACACATTGTAAAAAAACCTTTGGGATCTTTGCCATTAAAAAGGCAGATGATGTACAGTAAAATACTTGAAACCCTTTCTAGAAAACAATTTATAACAAATGCACGTGTCCAAATTGAGATAAATTCAGATAGGGCATTTCCTTTAAATTAAAAAAAAAATTAAATTTATTAATATTTATTAACAATTAAAAATAAACAAGCACAAAATGATCCAAATTCCTTTAGTAAATATATATTGGCATTAAATATGCAGTCTTGCAAAAATATAAAAAGCATTTTTTCCTCTCGTATATTAGAGCTGTTTTAATGGTGCCTTTATTATTATTAGAAGAACATTATCAACCTTTTTTTTTTTAACCATGTGATTCATTTTGTTCAAATCTCTGTGCTTTCCCTGTCCCTGCTAAAAGCCTTCCCAACGATTGTATCTGCCGCCATGTTTCTCTGTAGGCAAGGTGTGTTCAGGGTAATCTACTGTTAATATTTTACACCATAGAGTTTTGCATGTAGGCCAAAAGGGTCAGTTTTGGTCTCAACTGTCAATTATTTACTCAGGGGCTTTAAAACCAATTGCTCTCTGCCACTCCGCCATAAGCACCAGATCTTTTTAATGCACCATCTCTATCATCCCTTCTGAGGAGCTTCTGGCTGTTTCCCTTATTAATGAGGAGCCTGTAAAGCCTTGATCTATGGATGATGGGTTGAGAAATCTTAAATAGATGTATTCAAAGTTTGAAATATTGTTTTATTACCCAACCTTGCTTTAAGCTTTTTAACAGCCTTATTAGAGACCTTCCTGTTTTCTTCATAATATGAGGCTTACTTAGAGCAAGTATTTACTGAGATTAAATTATACACTATTAGACCCTGTTTTCTAAATGCTCTTCACTAGAAGCAAATGGTTAGCAATGGATTTAATTTGAAGGTAATGCATGGTTGAAACTGCAATATTTTAAAATTGTTGTTTTTTTTTTTTTAAACTTAAAAAGACCACACACGAAGATACAAATCTGTAGATAACAGGTTTAGTCCTACATTGTGTGGCATGATGCAACACAACACACAGAAGCAGAATTTAATCAAGAAATCAAAGATGTAGAACAAGAAATTTCAGAAAACGTCTTGAAATAAAATTTTAATTTAGGGTAAACTAACACTAATAGGAGGAAGAGGCAAATGGCGCTACTTTGTGCACTAATATTAACAGAGAAAAATTAAAGTAAAGGCCTTGAGTGAAGAAATTCTGTCATATTACACAGGCTTTTATCCTCATCTGTGCTTGGGGAATACCATCTATGCAAGGATATCTGGCCAAGATAATCCAATCAACATCCTAATGACACCAGATTACCATGAACACATCACACACAGCAGAATCATCTCATCAGATTTACTTACTCAGAAGGGCCATATCGGCATAATTATTTTTACATTATGAACCAGGCATTAGAGAGTACAAAGGAGAGCTTTGTATTCTGATCTAAAAGCTCATTTTAGATCATTTCTTTACCTGTTCCTGGGATAATTTGTGTGGGCATGAGGTTCTGAGGCTCATGAGGCTGGCCTTTGGCGCACTTTAACCAAGAGAAAACCTCGTCTTCTGGAATTTCGTCAACATCTAAGGAGAATATACAGAGAGGCAAGCAAAATCAGAATAACAGAAAGTCAACAGTTTTTTCTCTCCAAACTCTTAGCCGATGTAAGCTACCTTCTCTTTGTCTGTTCCTGCGGAGCCGATAGCAGTCCAGACACACTCCGAAGCCACACTTACGGCACACCCAGTGGATGTTGAACAGAGTCGTCTCGCATACGTCACACATTTCCCGAACACCTCGCACTGCTCGTTTCCACGCCACTTTCTCTGAAGCACCATAGAGGGATTTTAAATAATTTCAGTTAAGTGAAACCAGAGACGGTAGAACAAGAGGTTTTGGTTGGAGTATATGAGAAGACTTTTCTACTCACGGTGGGGCTCCACCATCATCATGGCCTCCTTCTCAGACATCACTAGCTGACAAAACTGGTCTCCAACGTTGGCCAGGATGTACTTGGATGTATCGAGGTCAAGGCCCTCTTGGATCGCTGGTGCAGGTAGCCAGAGACCCATCGCCATGGCGTCACTCTGCTGAGGACTGAGGAAGCCTTCCACACGCAGTATACCTTTCCGTGTGAAAGCCAACCTGGTGGAAGGCAAGAAAAACTTGATCAATGTTTTATTCCAAGACACTAAGGGACCGATGTGCCAACAAACCACGTCAGTCGTACCTTCTGAAGTGGAAGAAGCGACAGGCCACATTTGGGTCATCTTCGTCCTCACTGTCGTCCTCTGTGCTTCGGTATTTGCGGTAACGCTCAAGGCGACACTCGCGGCACTTGTGCAAGTGAGGAGCCACACTGATACACGATCCATCCTGGAGGAAGGACTCACCGGACTGCTTCAGACGGCGCACCTTGCTCTGATCTTTCAGCACAGACTGGCCCACTGGAAGACACACAGAGCTTTAATTCCATCTGCAATAAAGCTTGAGAGGTTGAGAAATTGAGGTTTGCAAAAATAAAGATGATGCACCTTTAAAAGATTTGTTACGTGGACGGCTCTTTGGAGCCACCTGGACCTTAGATTTCGGAAGGATAGATCCATCCTTGTTAGGCAAGGGAAGTCCTGCAGGGATCTGGTCTTTCTCCAGGCCGTCCTCGTTCTCGCTAAGGTCCGATAAGTCACTGTTGGTGCTGGAGTCGGAGTCACGTTTAGACGACTGACTTCTATCTTCAAGACTAAATTTCTGCTGCTGATTCTGGTCGAAGGACAGAGCAGTTTCCTTCACCTCTCCAGAGGTACTGCTTCCGAGCATCGGACAGCCTGATGTCGAAGTTGGCATCTCTACGACTTCTTGCTCCTTCTTTGTCACAGCTATCTCACTCTGCAAAGTTTGAGCTGGTGATGGAGTGGTAGAGGAGCTGACTATAGCTGAAGGTGAGTGTGCTGGGAAGGTGGATGACAGAATACCTTTAGGTGGCTCTGGCATAGTGAACAGATTAGGCTTAGCATCCAAAGAGACACCCAGAGTTTGTGGCTCAGTCCCGGAGAGGCCTACAAAAGGTGTTAGGGAGTTTTTATCTCCATAAGACAAAAAAGGATTAGCAGACTCTTTCGAGGCCTGCAGAAAAAGGTTCTGGTGGACATCTGAGGAATTAAAACTGGACTGTAGCACTGAACCCCCTTCAGGAGTTCCATTGTTATTGTTGTTCTTAATAGCACTTTGGGCTCCAGAGGCCATCCCCAGACCAAGAGGCAGGCTGGGACCCCGTCCACCTGCAGATGCGCCCTGGAAGGCTGATGGTTTGTTGAAAGCACCATTTCCCAGAGGATGGGCCTCAGGCACTTTGGGCAGCTCAGGTTTTTTCAGTGCTTCAGTAGAGGCTGCAGGCCTGAAAAGGGTCGCTGACTCTTTACTCAGACTCTCAGACACAGCAATGAAGTAATTAGTGTCCTTGGTTTGAGTCTGACCAGTCAGAACAGGGCTGGTTCCAGAACCCTGGGTCATGCACTGAAAAAAGAGGTTCTGGTCCTGCAGAGGCCGGCTATCATTCTTTGCTCCACCGAAGCCGAAGCCAAAAGTCCTGGTGGTGTCATGGGAAGCTGTGGTAGTGCTGGGAGCTCCGTTGGACTGGGATAAAGCATCTCCAAACACAGGAGCTGTGGGGGTAGCCTGGGACAAACAGAAGTTGGGTGTCGTTTTAGAACCCTGAAGAAAGAAAGATGGAAAGATAAAACTATCCGACCTTATGGCCCGTAAATAACACCTTATAGATTGCCTTGGAAAACCAACCATAGCCCTAAACTATTACCCGTGTGAAACGTAAAGATATATCAGGACAACAAACTGTTATACTGTTCCTGTAGACTGCAACACAGATTACGACAAGTAACCCATATTGTTCTGATTTTCATCATTTTAGTGGCCAAAGCTTGAGCATATTAGGCATTAGAGTTAGACATCTGCTGGAGCAGATGCAAACCATGAATAGATCAAAACCTGAAATTTAAAAATACTAACAAATACTGAGTTTACCATTTTTCGCAAACACTATATCACAAAGTGATTTGTAAAAATGACTAACATCATGTACCATGAAGCACTACAATAAAACTAAAGTTCTGTACATTTTCTTTGGACTTCTGGTAACAAAATGATGAGTAAGTTGTAACATTATGTATATATGTTTTGTTTTTTAATAAAGATCAGTCTGAAAAAGAATAGCATGCAATCAATGAGCACGCTCAACTCCAAGACCACTACATCAAAACCAGCGCAACCAACTGCTTTACAAGGTCTTTTGCTTGATAAACAGATGGATCATGTAGAGAATTAAGGAGACGTCTAGAATAGGAGTAGGAAAAAAAAAACATTCCCACAGCAATGCATGGTGAAGGCAACATGCTACTGTGGGGATTCATTTTAGCAAAGAGATGAAGCTAGATAGAGCTGGCTAATAGAAGAAAAGATAATGAAGGCTTAAACATAGGGATGTAAATAAGCAGATACAGAATTATAGTGTTTTGTTTGGATGATGAAACATTCTCATTAACTTCGTAATGATAACACTTTTAATTAATTCACTTTACAAGTCTGCGATAGGTGTGATATAACCTAAATTAAGAATTATTGCGTCTTTATCAAAACTCAAGCATTTAAACAAAAAAGGAATCTTCTCATTGAGTTAGTTTATCCCAAGGACAACAAAGTGGATCAATGTTTTCATTTGATATCAATGCCATTAAATCATTACTCATTTAATTGATATGGATGGATTTATTGTTACACCCCTGCTTCATCACACAGCTACTATTAAAAAAAAAAAAGGACTAGTGTCCATTATCTCATGCATCTAATCTGACTAACTTTAACTGACTCCCCCTAAGAAAGGAAGTGTTGGCCTAGTGGTTATAGCAGTGCTCTAAGAAGGTTGGAAGTAACCGGTATGATCACCACAGCCTGCGCTCTGGGTCTCTGAACAAGACCCTTAACCCCACACTGCTCCCCGGGCACCACACAATGGCAGCCCACTGCTTCCCAAGGGTATGGGTTAAATGGAGAGATTGATTTCTCCAATGTGAGATTAATAAAGTTCAATTATTATCAATTAGTATTCATTTACAGAGAAGAATGGACCCAAATTTTATTCTTTGGAAGTTTAAAACTTGCAGCCAACTATTAAGGCTAAAATAAAGGAATACAGGAATACAGTTATCTATGAATTCACAGTTTCTGTCACTTCAGATGTACCAGCTATGTTGTAAAGGTCCATGGCTATAATGTGACCAAATGTTACAGTGTAAGGGTATAAATAATAAATAAGCTCATGACAGGCTTACCTCTGTCTGGCCTCCCCAGGTCGGAGGTTTAGAGTTGAATCCCACCGATGGTGACAGTGTTACACTGGGTCTGCTATCCTGGGACCAAGAGATAGTGACCGGACCCGGGGAAACAAGAGCGGCTGTTTTAGAATAAGCCGACTGACAGGCCTCCTCGCGGTCCGGCTGGGGGGATGGAGAGGTCATTGGGGCCGGAGCACCAGGGACCAGGACCGGCATCTGCCCTAGTGAGGGAAAAGATGTGGTAGAGAAAGGGGAAGGAGCCGGTTTGAGAGGGGGAGGGTTCGGCGGGTGAGAAATGTTGCTGGTTGAGTCTGCTGCTCCTTGGGGAGGGAACAGGCGACCATTTTCTTTGATAATGGCAGGATAAAGAGGTGAAGAAACACTGGAGTGGTCCAAGTTGGCCGAGGAATTGGTGTTGGGAGAAGAAATGCTTCCTGGAGGAGAGGTCCCCTCGGAGGGGGTTCCGTTTTTAGTGGAGCTGCTGACCCTCTCAGAATCTCCAGCCCAGATTCCTGCGCCTTCCTCTGGAGCTTTGTTGGAATTGCCACAGTTTTGGGTACCTGCTTCTGAATTTCCTGCTCCTTTAAACCGTTTCAAGTTCAAATCATCACCATCCTCTGAGGCGGTCCTACGTCTGCGCCCGTCTCCCTTCAATGCGTCGCTGTCCTTCCTTCGCTGTCCATTGTTTCCAGGCTAAGAGAGGGAAAGAGAAGGGGAATTTAGTTCCAAAGCCGAAAATACTTTCTAATCCTGCAGCACAATCACAAGATTGTTTTTTTTTGTGGAAAATATACCCGAAGCAGCAAACCGAGCATAGTGGAAAACATGCATAAATATTTTTTTTTTACTACAAATCCTTGTTGACTAACAAACAAATGAAAATTCCTCTTCTAAAGGCTGTATGAAGACTTCTACCCATAAAAACAAAACAAACTTAGCTCATATAACACTCAGACACTGTATCAAAGACACAGAGCTAAAAAGAACAAGCTCATACACAACTGATAACTGTGTCTCACTGTGTTTTGTCTTCCTGCAAGGACCAGGCAATAGGAGAGTACAGTACAAAGGCACCAGTCCACCATGTTAAAACACACGTAGTTCATTTCCTGGCCATGGTTGACTTATTTCTGTGTTCATTTAACAGTGGGGATGATTGTCTAGCATTTTGAAGTTCTATACATACAATGGGGAACATTTCCTCTGCTTTATTTCACCTTTATAATAGCTTAATGGTAAAAGGCTAAAGAAAAGAGCAAGGTTTGTTTGTGTTAAGAATAAGTGTGGAGGAGGCAGCAGTTGAACAAGAAGAAGCAGAGCTGACTTGACACTAACATTTAATGAGAAACTTACCTCCTCCTCTGCTAGCATCACATGTATCACACGAGGATCCACCATCTGCTTGTCTTTTCCCTGCAGGCAAAAAGAAACTTTTTACCAATGAACTACCATCATTAGTGTGGGTGGAGTCAGAAAGAGAAATTTAAAATCTTCCCGTCCCCTTCTTCTCTTCCCCACCTATGTTTTTAGCATCTTTTCTACCTTAGCCCACTCTGAATTCTTCTGTTTTCTCTTTTTTCACATTAGGAAAGGCTATTCATATCACACAGGTTTAAATAAATTAGCAGAAGCTTAAAACAACCATATCCACACCAGTTACATCCATTAAAATTAGAGGCAATGGCCTTATTTCAGTGTAGTTTTGACCATTTTTAACATGGCCAGTTTCACGGAAGTGGGCTGGAGAGGAACCCTGGTGAGCAACATTTAGGTTTAGTTTAGAAACAATAGACCTATCTGTGGGAATACAGCTAACAGAAAATATTTATTTTGCAGCAATGAGCATTTGTTTTTTTTAAAGCCAGTGCTTACCTAACACACTGCATCAGTTTTGACATTTTTAATCCACCTATTGTGGAAAAAGAGCTGAAAAGTAAAACGGAACATTTTTGTAAAGGATTGGGATAAAATGTGTTACCTTATCCAACGTAATCTCCATAACATGTGAGATGGAGTCGTGCTGGGAGACTACTCCAAATGTCCAGCACTCTTCCATCTCAGGCTGGTACACACGGACCCTGCGCCCTTGAATGGAAAATGAACCTGATAGAAAAAGATGAGAAAATAATTCAACTAATTTGACTTTTTTACCTTATACAAAACTGAGGCCAACAGATGGTTCACTTTTTAAGTTTTATAAAAGTCTGTCAGCTGTCATTTCTTTACCCGTTGATAAACACTGAATACATTCATTATATTAACTACCACTAATATAACTAAACAAACAAAAAAAAATAGGGAAATAAACAAAGAAAAAGCAGACAAAATATTCAGAAGATTAAACAAGTTTTTATCTACAATCTAATGATAAAATCAGTAATGTGCTCAATTAATTCCTGGAAAATCCCAAAGTTTTATACTCAATACCTACAGATTATACAGATTATTGCTGTGCTTTTTATTTTTTTTATAGGGATGACAAAATTAACCCTTAGCAATAATTACCCCTACCTAGGATATGGTCCTGCTAATTAAACTGCAGAAATCGTTTTGGTTTACGAGCTTCAGGAGTGTTTTAATTGGATGTGTGAGCCTGCGCACCCACCAACACACAATGGGCCGCCTTTCTTTCTTTGCAATAACTCACCAGACAAACTGAGTTTAATGTTGGAAGGAGTTAATCATTGGCTTTTTCCAAACCAAGGGGATCTAATTTACTCACCAGTCAGCATGTTGTGAATATGCTGATTTGCATTAAGAAAACAAAGATAAACAAAGGCAGGAGTGATCCAGGGCAGCACAGAGAGTAGTTGAAATAAATACCACTACACTCTAAAGGTAACTGTCTATCTACACCTCCCTCTACCTTCCTCTGGGGGGAAAAAGAAAATAAATTTGAGTACTCGGTTTTATTTTCCTTTTTCCCCCCAGACAGGTTTTATTCAGCATGAGAGCTTGTTAAAATTTTAAACCTTTTATATTTACGTTTGGCGCCAAGTCTGAGATCTGGTGTCGTATACTCAGGACAAACCTGTCCGGATCCATCCATCCATCCATCCATCCATCCATCCATCCATCCATCCATCTATATATATATATATATATATAAATAAAAATAAATGATTAATTTCTCGTTTTCCAGCCACTTTTGTGGAAATTTGCATTTTCCCCCCATTCTCTAGCTTTTTCTCCGCCTCAAGCTTCTATTCCAAACATCCAGCTTTACGATCAACCAGAAGCAGTTCCGTGCAAACATGCAGAACCAGTTAAATCTGATGAAATTGTTTTATAAATGTTTTTTTTTTAAATAAAGCATGTTAAATCACACAATAATCACATTTAATGAATAAAAAAAAAAAAACAAGTAACTTAATGATTTTTAATGACCCGCGGAAAACCTGTATACGTTTCTTTTTATGTTGAGTTCTTAGTGGAGCTCTAGAAAGTACAGAATTTGTTTTGATGATATTTTTCTCATTTAGATAAATATAGGGAATTATGTGTATGGAAAACTGTTTCTAGACTTTATTCTTAAATAATACAGCCAAAAATATATAAATAAAAAATGCTTTTTAGACTGATATGTAAAGCACAGCCTTTATTGCCAATCTCACACCTCAGAAATGAATTTGTAGCGCTGCCACAAATTGGTTTTGGTTTAAAGGTGAAAGAATCACATAAAATATAAATAAAGATGCCTAAAAAGAGTCTTTTCCCTTTCAAGTCTTAAAGATACACAGAGATCAAAGTTTCAATTTTTTTTCTTAAAGACTAGGTTGCTTTTCAATCTCAAAGAATTGTTACAGATAAACTCTGGCTAGAGATGAACAACTGTGCAGTTAAGAATATGTCTTCTTTGTAGGGTAAAATTATGTCACAGAAGTTGTGAAATGACCTTTAACCTTTTGAACCTGAGGGGTACCTTTGCAGGTACCTTTTCATAGTTACTTAACAGTGATAAACAACACATTAATGAAGACTATAGCAATGCATCATATCAAATTAAACTATAGAATCTAGGCTACAAGCCAGAACAAACCTTTTTAAAATGTGCAAAACAACTAAAGTTAAAACCAAAGAAAAAAAAAAAAGGTAAAATATAAACACCCACAACCCTACATCAAACCAGCACAACGCACACATCAAATGAAAAGCAGAAACTCAGTAGAATCAAGTCATGTGCTTCACTTTCCTCTAAACCAAAGCAATGCAGAGATACAGGCCAATAAACAACAAGAGATGAAACCGCTCAGCCAGGAAATAGTTTTTAAAACATTCTTACTTTTGCTGTTTCTCCATGAAAACTATGTTTTACCGGTAAATCCACACTGCTTGGTTAAAAACAATCTCTACCGCAAAAGAAAAAAAAAAAAAACACTTTGGACATTTCTGCAGGTCTTTAGCATCCAGAAATAGCCTTTACAAGCCACCAATCCAGGTGCCTGACCAAGCTAACAGACTGCTATTGGCTGAAACTACGGTCATTCCTTCCCAGCTACATTCCACCGACTCTAACAACTTGATTGACGCATGATTGGTCAAAATCAAATAATTGGCCCTGTCTAACTACATACCTATGTGGGTTTAGGTAGGTCTGTGGTTGAATTTTCAAAGAAATGCCCAAAACTTTTGGATTTAACTCTACTCATTATTATTAGTGATCTAAAAATAAAACATTTATTTCTCCACATGAAAAAATAGAGATGGTGGTACAAACTGTGTGAAATGGCCACTTTGTTAGTCTTCGCTCAACTTTTTGTAAAAAACACAGCTATAATATTATTTAGCTTTACTTTAGAAATATGTCAACCTATTGTACTAAAGTTTGAAAAAGAGTAATGGGATCCAAAGCATCATTTCCGAGAATTGCTGAAGCTGAATGGCGAGGGTTGAGATTTGGCTGTGCCATCTTCATTTAGTAACACAGACCTTATCGTTAATGGAGAACCTTAAATATTAGTATATTTGAATCAAATAGATCTTGTTGCAAGGTTGCAAAGATACATTTATTTAAATTGGAGAAAGTAATTTAAAGAATGGGTTAAAGGTTTAAAGGGATAAGGCTGGTTTATACTTAGAAACTAGGTCATCTGCGTGTGTCGCAGTGAACGCAAATGCTTGTTTTGTTTGTATGACCGCCATTGTGGATAACGACTCAGGAAGTTGGACCAGCTAGAAGAGGGAGGTGCGCGAGAACGCTGGGACCCTTTTTCCACCTGGATCTCTGCTCTTTTTCTCCCTCATGTCCCTCTGTTGTCTCACAAACCTGCCACCACTTCCACCCCGCCTCGGCCGTATCTAGACCCACAGCTAGTTCCTGATTTTCCCTCTTGTGTTGTAGCGTGGAATAGCATAGTGCAGACCACGCCTCAATATTGAGCATAAATTAAAAATATTTGCAACAAGCTCACTGCGATACACTGCTGCGGGGAGTAGTACCAGCCCTTTAAAAAGACCTGCTAGATCACAGGTTACCAAAGCACCATGGCGTTTAATAATTCATGAACCAGGCATATAAGAAAACCTAACTAGGTCCTTGGGTTAGACACTGAAGTCCAGAATGTTATAAAAACAGTTTGAAACAGAAATCTGAGTATCGTTATCATGTCCTACTTTAAGAAAGGCTTTCTTGGCTGTGAAAAATATTCCCAGCACTCAGAGAATTTGTGCTGCTAAGACCTACAGGTCAAAATGTCAGTTACTGCTGTTATGTTTACAATACAAATGTGTCCCAAACAATAACTGATATTTTGCTTATATACAAAACAATAAACTAATTTCGTAATTTCTGTATTTCCTTTAATAAGAAATGCAATTAAAAGCAGATATGAGTATGTTTGCTCCGGGATAACAAAAAAATAAATGCCACACCACGATCTTTTTCTACCTCCTGTTCCCTTGTTCATCCATTTTTCCAGTAGCAACATTCGGCTCTCGATCATGTGACTCCAGACATGCTTCTTTTACAGGTTTTAAAAGTACACCAATTTCAAATCTTTTCCTACACCAAACACTTTCTTTTTTTTTTTTAAGCAGAACCTGATGACACACTTTTACAACAGTTATACTAACATAATATACCTATAAAAACGTTGAGCAGATGAAATAATAATGATTAATGCTTTTCTTCTTTCTTTATGCATATTTTTTCAAAGATCTACAGACGAGGATTAAATTAAAACCTGTGAAAAAATGACAGATGACGTCTAACTACTTGAGACTGCTGAATGATTCCCATTCCTTCTGAACATAGTGCTACTGGATCATAAATCATTTTTATGAGTGCCCGCCTCAGTGAAAACCTCAGACAGAGCAACTCAGAGTCCACTTCAGATCTGAGTTTGAGTCCTACCCTTTCTGAAGATCTCCTGCAGTTTGAAGTCTGTGTGCCAGCTGGAGATGGCTGACAGCAACGAGGGCTGCTCCAACAACAGAGGGTGTCTCATATCTTTATCAATCTGCATAAAAAGACAGTTTAAAAATACTTCAATAAAACCTAACCACAGATGGGATCAGAAAGTCCCAACTTTGTTAACGACACATATCAGAAAAATAACATTAATCCATCCATCATTTCAACATGTTAATTCAAGACAGCAATAGAATTAATCCTAAAATTAATACCCACCTCAAACCTTTTGAAACCTTTATCATCTGGGAAAAACTCTGAATTCTTTGTTCCAAAGTACTCCACAGGAACCAGCGATCCTAAACCCACTCTGTCCACCAGTGAGCGGAAAGCCTGCACAAGAGAAGAAGCATTTCAAAATCTTCGAACAGAACCAGAACACCAAACAGAATATGGTCAATAGAAAGCACATTTAAAATATGGTTTAATTGCATTTCATGTCACTTATTAGAAATATTCTAAGTCAAGAGGAATAAAATGAAAATGAATTAATTTGTGCTGATTTGGAAGAAAATCATATTGATTATCTGATAATAATCTGATTAAGCTTTTTGGTCTCTATTAGAGACATGTCAGTCACAGATCCGCCGCTATTTGAAAACAGTGATCTGGTTCCTGTGGTAAATAAAAACAAAACAAAGTGCCGTTGAGCAGAGTGGCGACTTGGTTCTTAGTTCGAGCCCCACTCCTACAGACTGCCACTCTGGGTCTTGCACAAGACCCCCGACCCCACACTGCTCCCCTGGTGCCACACGATGGCAACCCACTGCTCCCCAGGGGGATGGGTTAAATGCAGAGGTAAATTTCTCCAATATGAGATCAATAAAGTTCAATTATTAAATGACTGGAACAGGGTTAAATACAAAGCCTATTCATCTTTAATTCCCTTCTTAATATAATATTCTTGTTAAAGCCACGTTACTGCTTTGTTTTCACCTTAATTTATCCTCTAAAGGTTTTGCTCCCCTGTAATCATCAGACGCTTATTTAGATTTTAAGATTTAGTTCAAATAAAAGCTTTGTTTAAGCTTTGAGCACAGCTTTCTCAAACCTAAATAATCACCATTTTCTGACCTTCCAAATGATGATTAATAAGTGTTTCTTATATAAAACAAAACATGACTGATTGGGGTCATAGCTAATATTGTGCTTCTAGGATAGGTGGGTCTTGGGCTACTACTGATCTTTTCAAATACAGCCCATCTCTAAATGGCCAGGTCGCATTCACCCAACCTGAATGCCATGAATACTCAACAAAGGTTATTATTCTGCATCTTGCCACGCAGAAGCGGAAAGAAAAGCAACAACCATGGTGGATGATAATGCGGAGAGCAGTCTTTTTTTTTCTTCTACACTCTTGAAAAGATTGTGTTGTGTTGCACTGGCTGAGGTTGCAAGATGCGCTCCAGCACTACAATCTATGTTTACTTCTGTAAACACGGAGCAAGCATGATTGTGATGTCAATGCATCCTTTACTGCGCGTCTGGGACACTTAAGTTGTATGAATGCAGTTCACACAGGAGATCACATACAAGTTATATATACCGTATTTTCACGACTATAAGGCGCACTTAAACGTCTTTTTTTTCCCTCAAAATGTGCGGTGCGCCCTATGGTGCGGTGCGCCCTATGTGTGTTGTAACTGCGACTTTTGAGACCACCTCATTGAGGAGATGATTTTTTTCCACCCCTCACCATCGCTGTTAATATGTAAC